ATGCATTTACGTAACATTGGTTCACAAGGGAATGAGGGATATTTACTGTCAACAATCAGGCGTATAAAATTAATTTATCAAACCATGGAGAAAAACAAAATATTTCACCTATGATAATTTGGAAATATCCCTTCCTTGCTGACTCAATTGTGGTGGAAGAGTAAGTGATAACCTTGTTGATGTACATAATCTTTACGATTATTTATGTTTACCACCTCTATGATACCTTTAAGAAATGGATCTGACTTGTTAAACATATCAATAAATATATTTTTTCTGATACAGGGTTCATGGAGCATAAGAATGCCTGGGGTAGAAACAATTTAAGAAAAAATCCTGCACTTTAGCTTGTTACAGAGGTAAGTTTGCTTTTAGTTTACAGCTTTAATATTGATATAAGGTACTATAATTCTTGTTGACAAACTATCCAAGCTGATAATTGACTGCCAAATTTCTTTGTTCGACATAATACCCATGTGTGCTACTTCGCTACTTTTTAGTTACCTGCCATATTTTGTATAAAATTCTCATTGATATTTTAGTTAATTGACAGAGTAGGGTTTTAAATTACCAGTAGAGGAATTTTCTTTCACAATGTATCTAGCAAACTCTATTAATTCTTTTTCAGGTAAAAGCAGAATTTTAAAGAGTAAACCACAAGTTAATCCATGATATTATTGGCAAATTTCAATCCATTGATTGAGAAAAATATTTTGGACTATGCCAAGAAATGTAACAAGAAACTACATTTGTTCTTATAAACAGAGTGGAGAGAGCAATTACTGGGAAATCAGGTAAGTCATGCAATTAATAATAATTTGCCCAAACCAATGGCAAAATTATAGTATTATAGCAATACAGGCTATTGCTACATGAAATATGCCTATTTATAATCTAACATAATCTATCTTGATAAACAATTTTTTTAACAGACATCCAGAGCACAGTTGCTTAGATTTTGAAGGAATTATTGAAGAAGAATGTAGGAGAATCTCAGTCTCTCTTTTTTAAGATTTGTTCAGTAAGTGTAAGAACCTTTGTGGGCTGACTTTGTTTTTTAAATACTTTTAAAGTCCTTCTAAAAAACATTGGTTTCTTATTAAAGGTTGTTGATTCCATAGATCAGGATAATGATTCAGAAGACATTTCAGACGTTCAAACTTTGATGATTGCGGTGGAGGGCAAATGTTATCCTATCGAAGAGCACTCAACCTTATTTTATCCACTAAACATGGAGTACATTGCTGGTGTGGCAAATGGAAACTGCTCTGGTCGGCAAGCCTTAGGACAAAAACTTTTGAAGGACGTTAAGTACACTAGACATTTTATACATTCTTGTACATAGATTTTCCTGTCACAGCATATGTAGAAATAAATATTTTCAAGTCGCATTTTGTATACTTCGTATGATTATATAGCTTATGCTATTTAGTCGCTCCAATGCTAGCGCCAAAAGTGCAAAAACTAAACCACACAAACTTCGGGTGTTAAATAAGACGATGTAACCCTTACAAAAATGTTCTATAGAATATTCCATTAAAATTCTCTACTGAATATCCTATAGAATATTCTAAGGGATTTTGGAACCTATTCTATGGAACGTTCTACAACATGTTCTATAGCACCTTTAATAGAATATTCTATAACATATGCCATGTTTTATAGAATATTCAATAGAATATCCTTCAGAACATTCATTAGAATGTTCTATAGAATACTGGTATTCTATGGAACATTCTAACACATATTCTATGACATCCTATATGAAATGTTCCATAAAATATTTTCAATCTATGGAATATTCCATTAATGATCCTATTGAATATGTGATAAAATGCTCCATAGAATATGTATTCTATAGTATATTTTATGGATAATCTATTAAATATGCTATTGGATGATAAATGGTATATTCAACATTCGTCCATTTTTCGACTTTGAAATATATCACTTTATAACAACATAATCAAAACTTCTTTCTGCCAAGAGTGAGATATACAAACAAATAAAATATTCCCAAATATATGTAACAAATTTATTTACTTAACGTTCAATTGATGCAAAGATTTAATGAAAATCCCTTGCTTAAATTACATATAAATAAATCTAGAGATTAAAGAAATTGAAATACATATATTATACAACAAAGAATAAAAAACAAGTCCTATAAGTGTCCATATAACTTTAATCTGCATGTAGAACTCTAGTTCTGGTAATTAAGTCTGTCAAATAATCATTTTGTTTTGTGGATAAAACAACTGCAGCCGGTTGTTTGAAGGCTGTTTAGCTTAAATGGTAGTTAAGTGAAAATTATATACATTTCACACATTTTGAAGAGGATTCAATTGAAATATTATGCTCTAAGTAATTAAAAACAATATGGTGTCACTCAAATTGAAATATTTTAGCTTGGTTTTTTATGAATGTATAAATTTATTCAATATTTTCTAGATAAAATTATTACCATACTGCAGTTTTCCCACCAAATAAAATGACTGTGCAAGAAAATAGCAAAAATATAACTAGGCTATTATATTAAATATATTTACATGTACAGAACATGTAAATAGTAGAAAATGGAATGTCATATAGTTACTGATGTCCAGATGCTTTCAACTTGGTTTTCTCAACTTGCACAATATTATTAATCTTTGGTGCCATAACTTGTCATATGTCAGCCTCTTTTCCCTCAAACCTTTTTGCACCATACTTTAGACACAGCTACAAAAGGTAAAACTCATCAATAACTGAACCAAGATATGTATAAAAGATATATTAACTTAGACCAGACATAATTACTAACAATTAATTATACTGCTTACCATACATACTCTTAACTTTCTCTGGCTCTGGTTTTGCATCCTTTTCTTTGAATTAAGCTAGGCATTTGAAGCCTTTCCAGTGATGGAATGAGAGCAAAGTTGTTCTTGCATCCACGGCACTGCATAAACAAAACCTTTCACATTTAATATTGCTTTAATAGAGCTCCATTTTGACCTTTGGTTAGTGTGATGCTTGGACAAAAGGAAATCTGTAAATTTTAACAGTAAACACACAATTAAACACTTGAGGCCTAGCTTATATTTAATTCAATTTTAATGATATATAAAATTTATCTAGAGCTAGTGCAAATGTCTTGACAGAAATAATTTTTAGTTGGAATGGCTCTATTTATAGTGGTATAAATAAAAGGTGTAAATAAAATGTTCAAATAAAAAGTTTAATCTAAAGGTGAATAAAAATTTATGAGATTAATTATAATGGTATACAGAACATATGTTGCCTATACAAACATATAGCATTTATAGCATATACGAAACACACTCACCACTGAATTCCAATACTTTAGCTACACATGTTGTTGTATAGATGGGTCAATAAACTTTTGATTATTTTCTTAACTTTAGAAATTTCTCATTGCCATGGCCTTTCTTTCTCACGATCCTAGTCACCTTTCAGGCATTCACGAAATTATCCATATCTTCTGATTCTTCTCGCATACTACAGCGCGTTTCACCACCCTCCTATGATTCCTCTTTGACAAATTCAAAGAATGCGTATTTTATGTTAAAATACGAAAGAAAAACGCACTAAATTCTACCAGTATCAGTTACAAAGGTTGAATCAACGGATGACAAACTACATACAAAGACGCGCTCAAAATTTGAAAATAATGCGTGGCGGTTAAACAAGTCCCACATAACCTTGCGGCCTTGTTTGGGCAAAACGCCCGCCATCTAACCTGCGAACGGGCATATTATGAAACAGATATGAGATATGTCATATGTGTGAAATATTCGTGATTTGTCTTTACAAAACGAATGATTTCTGCTGAGAATTTTAACTTTAAGACTTCAAAAGTATGTTGAGAGAACCTTACAAAAAATGCGAATATAATTCTCGACCAATGAATAGTGTACTAAAAATGTTATATTTTTAAATTTGCATAAATTGTGTCTCATTCTGTTAATAACATATATTCTATAGAATATTGTGTACAGCATGTTCTATAGAACATATTATTGGATATTTAATGTGAATGTGCAATAGAATATTCTATAGCATCTCTAAATTCTATAGAATATTGTGTACAGCATGTTCTATAGAATATATTTTACTGTGAATGTGCAATAGAATATTCTATAGCATCTCTAAATTCTATAGAATATGGCAATGGAATATGCTATAGGATAAGAAGTCCTATACAATATTCTATGGGATTTAGAATATGTTATAGCATATTCTATAGGATTCTATAGAACATTTTCGTCAGGGAAAAACTGATGTGTAGGTTAAAATAACAAAAAATAGACATCGCCTTAAAGGTTTTGTTTAAATCAGCATTTGTTTGTCAATAATTCGATTTTCTATCGATCTACTTATTAAATTTCAACATGACACTTGCCAAGCAAGTTACGTCATGCGCACATTGGGCAAAAAAACGTGTGACTCGATTTGGCTTCAGTTTCATATCTGTATTACAAAACAAACACGACAAAAAATGTTGGCTTACATGATTTCACTACATTTCATTATCTATAGGTATTATTTACAAACATTTAAAAAATGTACTATTAAGTTAAGCATGCCGTCACACTAAAGAGTCAAAAGAAACATATGCATATAAATACCTATATAGGTGATTACAACAAATTTTAGCAAGTATACAAATAAGTTGTACCATATAGCAAAATTTATAGGTATGGATAACAATTTTCATAGCATGGATGAGTTACAAGCAAGCATGTTGAAGCAATAATAATGTTACAATATATAAAATTATATTACTACCGTTTTTTTATGCAATCAAAATGTTCAACAGAGCTTATCTCTTTAAGTCATCCGGCTGCCAATAGTCCAGGTGATGAACAGTTTTTGACTTTTGATACCATGTCAGAGTCATCCATAAAGAACAATGGGCTGGCATAAGAACATATATTTAGCATGATATGAATACATGTATCTTTTACAGATAGTACCACATAAAATATGGTATGTATTCATGGAAAAACTAGATTTAGGCTAATCATTATTATAATATAATGTCCTCTTTGATCTAAAACTTCCTAATTATCAGATTTCCTCAGTTACCATTGGTCTCTCATTTATTTATTGAGTCCCCTCATGTCTTTCCCCATGCAATGTTGCAAAATTCTGTTCTAATCTAAAAGGACAAAAATAATGAATTAACAAGGCTAGCAATATAGCCACAGCAATGACAGCATTATTAGTGTCATCATCAAGACAATAATAACTCAAGGATAAAGGAACATTATGCTGACTTTCTTCGCCTGGCACCAATAAAGTACTTATTGAGTGCCATTGTGCCAGAAATTTGAACACTTTTAATATTAACGGCAACGAAATGTCAATGTTTACCTTAATCCCTTTGTCTCAAATGTAAAAATTGCAAAATCGATCTCTTGGTAAATGAAAAACCAGATGGTTTTCCTGAAAAATCAACGCAACGGCTGGCAACCTAATAAGATTTTTGGAATCTTAATTCATCCCAGAAGCAGGGCAATATGGCCAATAATGCCAAGGAAAATGCTTGTTTTTTGAAGCAGAGACATTGTGTGAGAATTACCGGTGTTTTTTTAGTTCTTTTTATGGCATCACCCTTGAATACTCCACCAAATCCACCTTCACCAATCAAGCCATTGTCGATATAGTAATAAATCGCTCCTGAAAGTCAAAAGCAATTGCTTGTCAATATAACTGAACAACTAAAGAAATATGTGAAGTAAAATGGATTTTAGAATAAAAACGCAAACTCTAAAAATTTTTGTAGCGATAGAATCGCTTGCCTTTTGACTTGCAAACTTCAACAAAGTTTTCCCCATCGACAACTCTAGTGACGCCTGGCACAATTGAAGGTTGGGAAGGTTTGAGAAAATAAATGGGCTTACCAAAGGATTGTTTTGAAATTAAACTTTCATAAATCCCTGTCTTTCCCATCGCTGGTAGTGAAGTTTGTGTTTCATCGAGTTTCGGCCGACTTTGTAGTCTCAAAATCCACGAAGTATCTCTGGTTGGTCTTCGAACCACAATCTGAACCCATCCTTTACCAACGCAACTGCACCCATTGCTTGAGTCACAAGATTTCTGTACTGAGCCTACGGTACCAGTGGCCTTTAAATCGCGGGTAAGAAGGTCAGTTGCTTTCGTATCGAATTTTGTGTTTGACACCTGGCTAGAATCATTTGCACGAGCTTTGCTATCAGTTGAACAAGCCTGGAAATGTCAAATACGTTACTAAGAGCTTTCACTAGAAGAATATTAAAACTTGGTCGCTCTTGCAAATATATTTTGTTGTTTAAGCATGAATACGCTGGGCAAACAGCGTATGCGAATTTAAACAATGATACTCAAAGCATTTTCCTTACCTGACTAATTGAGGCCTTGTTTTTGTTTCTCTTAAGCTCAACTTTTAAAACCTCAGGCTCCGTGCCCTTCTGCAGTGAATCATCTCCCACAAACACTTTTCCTGCCGAACAATATGCGCATGACATGTTCGAAGTTTCCCGGTTGTTGACTGTAACCGTGATCAACCCATTGCCAAGCAACCATCTTCTTGACGCTCCATTGTGCAGGAGTCGTTCAACAACTGCACTTCTATAACCAGAGAGGTGCTGAAATCACCTCACACTCGCCTGCACTGTTTGTCTAGAATAAGGCTAAACTCTGTATGAAAGGTATCTGTATGAAGCACAAATTACAGATCCTTTTATTACAAATTACAAGGCTAAAATCTGCGTTTGAAGGTAATATTAAGCACAAACTTCAAATATTAGTTGTAACCTCAGAATTACTGGTTAAAACTGGCCTTGGAAGAACATTAGTTTTATTTGTGACCAATATTTCTTCCGTTTCTCGCAATCCGCGCACGTTATATCAACAGGTAAGTTAACGGACCAGGCAAAAGTCCCTGCTTTAATTCGGGCACACACACAACGATTTTACGGTAATTGGTCCATTTAGGTTTATACATATAGGCAGCCCTTGCCCAGACATGTTTTCCTTCTCGCGGCGCTTGCGCCTCGCGCGTGTACGCCAGTCTAATTGGTCTAATATTATGACCACTGAGCATAGGAACCCCAATAAATATTGTTGAAAGAAAAAGTAAATAGTCCAGTTACGGTTGCAAGTTCAGTAACGTCAGTGATCGCGAAGCATATAAATATATAGTTATTGAGAAGGATGGAAACTCTTGTAATAATATAAACATACATACGAATTTCACTCGCAAAATTTCATATCAAAACAACGAGAATCCCTCAAATAAATTATCACAAATACATTTTAGATACTCGAACAATAAATATTCCATTAAAAATATTTTAAAAAGCAAATGAAAATGCACAAAAAATGTACAAAACTTTTGCCTATTTGCCGAAAAATATCGTGGAACCATGCGAGATATAAAATGCGGTTTGAAGAACGAATCTGATTGGTCAAAAAAATAAACAAACGACGTGTGCTTGTCAAGCATCCGCGGGGTAAAGTCAAAGTTTAATTCAAGTTGAAAAAAAACGAGAACACACAAAAAATTAAAGTTTGTAAAAATACAGGTCGAAAATTTATAAATACTTTTTTTATGCGAACGTTTTAAACGCAAATGGGCTAAAATTTCAAGATGACTGCAAAGGTTAAACCGGTTTTTCAACTTGAATTAAGCCAAGGCCTAGTTCTCAGCTCGCAGACTGAGGAAACATTGAAGAATGTTTAAAAAACCACAATGTAAGACATCATGGAAAAATCGCGAGAAATAACATTGAATTTGGCTTACCACAATTCGTATCTCCGATGCAATAGACGTCCGCTACGATTGTCATAATGAGTTTTTATGTGGTACACTAATATATTGAATATTCGTTCTGCAATTACATAATAGGAAAGGGAGAATAAAAAAATTATATTTTATATAACACCAGTGTATGATAAATGGAACTGTACAGCAAAATAGGCTATTACTCCTGACAATAATGTTGCACAGAAGCAAGACATTAAATATCTCAGAAATATTTGGGCTAAAGACCCCGGAATACCACTAAACAATAGCAGTTGAAATGATTATTTGAATAGTATATTCCAACCAGCATATAGTTATAACCTGCATTTTTTTATAAGTAAAAACAATAATCAAAATAATACGTTGCTTTGTTATCTCAAATTACTCACCCATAGCAAGATATTTTAGAAATTCCATATCTTTCATCTTTTTTGGTACTCTGTTGTCTTCGAAATGTCCCAATTTTACATGTTGTCAATCTGTTGTAATTTTAAGTAATTCTTGGGCTAGGATGTGCAAAAGAATCGAAGAAATAGCATTTCATAAGTGCTAAGCGATAATCGTTGGTAAGCACGTGCTTAAGACAAGCTCGAATCGGAACTAGGTCAGAATTTCGGCTTTTTGCCCGAATTTGTTTTCCATATTTTTATTATTGTGAAATATTATTGCCGGTGATGCGATAATTCATATCATCGGTATGTTTATATAAAAAATCGGCAAAAATCTTCTAAAGGCTCGATTTTGACGCTATATATATCAAAATAGTACTGTATATTTGAACTAAACCACTGCAACCGGTTTTCGTTTACATTTTTGGCCAATATCCTAAGGATTAGGCCGCTTTGATGTGTAATATTGAATATATAAAACGCGTGAATATCATACCTGTGAATAGCTATGTATGCATGGCGGTAAAACGCCATATTTCGACTGGAATTTGCAATATTTAGCCTTGAAATTTACTACATTTGCGATTTTGTCAGTTTGTTATATATACTATTATTCCAGGCCATGCCCAATTCGACAATATTCTGAAAGGTTCCGTGATTAAATGTACCACATAATTCAAATGCTACAACAGTTTGAAAGATTTACTTGCCTTTTAAATTCCGACTTTCCTGCTCGATGGGGTTCTAAAGCTGGTGGGGAAATAAAGCCTTTTAATAATGATTGAACTGTATTTTTTTGTGAACTTCATGAGAGAAATAATCGAACAAATACACACATACTGTGATACATTGGCTTGGAATATGCTCCAAAACGTGTGAAATCGAACATTTGTTGTGCAATCACCTTGCAAATATCAAAGAAACGGGATCAAAATTTGAATATAGATTAACCAATCTGATTGGTTTTTATTGAACCAATCATGGAGTACAAAAATTGACCAATGACAAATTGACCTGTGCACAGAAATAACCAATCAAGTTGTCTTAATTTTGCTGAATTATGCAAGAGCCTACAGGCTTTAAAACAGGGCCGTCTGGGACCGTTTTCTTCAGGTAAGTTAGTTCTTTCTTTAGGTAGGATCAAGGTATGTGTAATTATTTTTTTAATAGAAGTAGATCCCCGTGGCCACTCTGTTAGCTAAGAATCTCTGTCCCCGTATCTGGAAACACGGCTCACTGCTTGTCTAACTGTGTTTTGCTCTTCGTTTTCTAGGGAGCTACTAATAATTTTTTTTGTGTTTTTCAGACAAAGACGATCGTAGTTTAGTTTCAGTATCCAACCCTAAGAAGCCACCCCATATCCATGCCGTCAGTTAAACCCCTAGCCGCAATTGCCTTCAGCTAATTGTAAATGCTTCCTTTTCTAGGAACAACTCACCATATTTTTTGTCGTTTCAGCTACAGAGTTAGTGGGTTGTGGGTTGTTGGATGTTGTGTCGTCGGTTGTGTGTTTTGTGTTGTACGTTCGTATTGTCTGCCAGTCGGTTTGCGAGTTGCCCTGTAGCTCTCGCTTTTTCCTGGCCACACAAAGAACACATTTCGGATACTCCTTTTTAGGAGATTGGGTTCGAGTCCCATGAATGTGTCAATTTTGCGCTGATATCTAATGTGGTCAGTCTCTAATACATAAGCACAACATCCAACGGACAATCTGCATCCTTTCACCAAACCAAATACAAGTGTTGTTCTCATACAACAGAATGGAACTTCCAACAGAGTAAGGAGTAAACAATACCCAAGAAAAAGTTCTCATAACTTCTCAAACAGGACAGGATGCGGCACTTGTTAATGAAGTATTCTCGATGTTTAAGGGACCCTCTCAGTTAGACGTCCGATCAGAGGATATTTCAAAGTGGTAAGCTGATTTAAGCATGTGATTACTGTGCGAATACTCAACCCATTTTAATAAATATGAGACCACTAAACTCATTGCTGTCTGCTCGTAAAGCGCGCACACAGATAATGTTGATTTTATCTGGAAGTATTTTATAAAATCAACTAGAAATTGTGTTATCTCAAAGAAAAAACATTTACCTATTTGTATAAATTTAGTTCATTTCAAAAGCTTTCCTATAAGGCAAGAAATTTATTGCCGAACTATTACTTTTTAAATTGAATTTTAGAGAAGCGAAAATACGGAAAGCCTTCCAAAAATCTCGCCTAAAAACCTCCAAATATTTCTAGTATACATTGGCACCAATATTTTCATCTATTTTACTTGAAATACAGTCGCTTTGGTGATTTGTAGTGATATTTCCAACAAACGTGTTTACAAATGGAAACTGGAAATGTGCATATAATTATCACCATATTGGCGAAAATTTTACAATTATGACTTCTAGGGACAATTTTACTTCGGAAATCGATTACCGGGCTTATTTTACTCCAACGGGGTAGGCAACCTTACGTTTTTGACACCTTTAACCTCATGTGACAACCACATGTGCGTGCCGCTGAGCAACGCCTCGCTATACACAATAACAAATAAAAAAAGCTATATTTTTCGAGTTTTTCTGCCCATCCTGACTTAAAAACTATCAGAAAAGATAGCTAAAGCCTTTACAGTTTACATGTAACGGTTAAAAGACGACAGGATAAAAATAAAAAAGAAAATAACGAAATTCCAAAGGCGAGTTATATTTTCGTTTGTAATCCAGTATAATTTGATATAATTTTTAGAGCTGCACTGCAGTGTCAGGTTAACAGCAATATTGATTAATTTCTGGATTAAAACAGAAGCGATTGGGTTAAAGTATTTTTCTTCAGCTATATTTTGGTGGTATTTTTGTGCTTTCTAAATTAGACGTATTAATTTAAACATTAAAAAACCGAGATAATTTCATGATATCTGGTGATGGAAGGCATGACAAGAATTATGCCTACACAATATTTTGCTGTACAGTTCCATATGTCATTCATTTTACACTGATGTTATTAAAAATAGATTTATTTTTCTCTCTTTCCTATTATGTAATTGCCATTTACCAATATACAGGGGTTGGGGGTATTATGTGAATATGAAAGAAAACAGCCTGCATTTTGTTCTGTATATTCTTTTTGTTATAGAAGTCACAAAATACATGCTGTTACTACACAGTATAGGGCCTTGTGATTCATATACAATTATAGTTTCAATTGTGTGAAAGTGATGTTCTTGTAATCTCAATTGTAGATTCTATT